CTATCGTTTCCCTCTCATGCTCTTCCAACGGACAAACATTTATGTACTCCAGATAGGGTTGCCAGGTCTGGGTTGGAAAATACCTGCAGACTTTGGGGGTGGAGCCAGGAGAGGGCAGGGTTTGGGGAGGGGAGGGGCCTCAGCATGGTGCCATAGAGTCCACCCTTCAAAGCAGCCATTTTCTCCAGGGGAGCTGATCTCTGTCGGCTGGGGATCAGTGGTAAAAGCGGGACATCCCCAGGCCCCACCTGGAGGCTGGCAACCCTAGAGAAGGACCCTTGGGCAGAGGTTAGCAAGGGGCCGCAACCCACATCCCACGGCCACTGGCCACTCCACAGTGTCTTTTTGCCCTGCAGTTCAAATTGGAATTTAAGTTGCATCGCCTGTAGATAGAGGCAGAGATTCCGCCACCGCCCAAACACCGGGGGACCCCCAGAGCCCTGCCCCCCAACTTTCTGAGCTCCAGCTCCCGCCATCCCTGAGGAGAGACGCCACTCCACTTCCGGGAGCAGCACAGCAGCTTCTGCCCCAACTGCTTTCCATGGGGAGTCAACTTCTGCCCCACTTTTCAGCACCCTAATGCCTCAGCCCCCCCCCCCCCCCGCCTTGCCAGGGCCCCAGCCCCACCTGTTGTCTCCTGCAGAGAGCCCCGGGCCATCTGAGAAGGACCCTTGGGCAGAGGCTAGCACATCCCACATCCCAGGCCCACTGGCCACTCCACGGTGTTTTTTTGCCCTGCAGTCCAAATTGGAATTTAAATTGCATCGCCTGTAGATAGAGGCAGAGATTTAAAGCTTCCATGGCAAGGCGGGGATTCAGTCTCTGGCAGTCCAGCACTCTCCACCATTGTGCCATACTGGCTTAAACCGATGAGTGGGTCGGTGGGTCGGTGGGCCTAAAGGCCTGTGGTGCCCTTGGAACAGTGGCCTGAGCAAAGCCCGTGCAGCTCTGGAGGAGCACTGCTCCGAGCCATTTGAACCAGCCGTTTGGATACCGGCAGTTCCCTTGGCTGGGGTGAGGGTCAGGGCCGGCCCCAGCTTATTTTGCACCCTAGCCGAGGATCCCTTCTGGCGCCCCCCCGTGCACCAGATTCAGCAAAAGAGCTTCCCCGGCTGCGGAAATGCAGGACTTTTGGCGGCTGGGGGGCTTTTGGCGGGGGCGGCAGTTGCAATTTGGCACCTCTAAGGGCCGGCCTGCTCTAGGCGAACGCCTAGTTCGCCTAGTGAGCGAGCCGGCCCAGGTGAGGGTTGAAGGCCACCTGCCTCTGTCCGCACATGCCTAGAGGCACTCTCTTTGTCTTTCTTGCCTGGGGCCTCACCAGAAGTCTCTGGTTATATTTATCAGTCAGGAAATGGTATCCTGGCAGGACGCTGGGCGCAGGCATTCCCAGCCTTTGTCATTATCCCAGGTAGCCTGAAAGGCCAACTCCGCGGTCCCTGGCGCAGATGTCTTCTCAAGCCAGACCCTGAGTGACTGAGGTGGGCGCTCGCTGGGTCCCCTTTGCCCTTTCCCCACGGCTGCTGTCGGGCCACAGGGAGCGTTTCTTCACACAACAGGTGTCACCTGTTGCCAGCCGTCCAAGGCTCGCGCTGGATTTCACTGACGCGGCGGATCAGGTTCTGACCAGAGTATTTAAAGTCAGACATGCTCCCTTGGCCTTGCCCCCTGCTTCGAGCCCTGCCCCCTTGGCACCACCCCCATCCCACCTTCCTCTGGAGCCCAACCAGAGGGAAATGGGTGTGTGTGTGTGAGAGAGAGGCTGAAAAGGCAGACATGTTCTAAATTGTGCATGTTTGAGTCTGCCTGGAGAAGTTTAAGCAGATTAAGTGTCGCTAGAGAAACAACACTGACCCCTCCTGGTGGGTGTGAGAAAGACTTACCCCCACCACCACTGGGATGCCGGTAGGGCAGAAAAAGTGAGCTAAGCGGAATCAGCATATAGTGCAGGACAGAATATTATGGGTGTCGGGTGTGTGAATGCCAGAGAGAGATTGTTTCTATGTGCCAGTGTTTAAAACACTGGCTTTCTGTGAGACACGCTATGTCTCATGAGACTTTTTGAACTCACAGATACTCAATATAAATCCCTACTTTTCCTCCTCTAAAATTCACACAAGTAGGGCCCTGATCCTTCCTACTCACGGCTTGTCTGCACTTAAAAGTGAAAAATGGTAACCTCTGGGTGCATACCATTATCACTCCAGGAACTTGGGTATGTGTGCAATGCGTTTGTCTGGAAAGGAGGGTGGGTGGCTTGCGATTCGTGTCTTTTAAGTATGTTTTCCTTGCTCCTCTGCAGTCTCCCGAGTTCTGGATTCTCATGGCCTGGCAGCAAAACCCCTTGGACTGCTCCAAAACCAGCCTCTGGGTCTGATCTCTTTTGCTGGGAGCACTACACAGTGGTGGTGGTGGTAGTGGGCTGGATGAGCTCATAGGTCTTTCCCAGGCTCAGATTTCAAAGATTAATTCCAGGAGCAGCCGTGGGCTTGACGCAGTCGACAAAGATAGCACTTGTGGTCTGGGACAATGGAAAGAGGCACGTCCCAGAGACACCAAAGGCCTATATGGAAGACACCAGTAGTCCCAGCTCCCAACCCCCATGCATCAGGGCATTTCACAGTCCCATACAGGCAATGTGCACCAAATCAGCGCACACTAACAGAGACGAGTGTAGCCAGTTCTATCCCTCTCCTTCAATATCCTCTTGTCCTGCCTCTGGCAGCTGCTCCTGCTTTCTGAGAATTATGTGTAGAATTTGGAAGCTTCCTTTACATTGAGATGCTCTGTCCAGTTTCTCAGTCTCAGTGAATAATTTTATTGGGGTGAGGAAAAGAATACATTGTTTGTGACAAACAGTGTGAACTGGGGCCCGAAAGAGCAGCCGAGTGTGAGGTGGGAAAAATGCTGTAGTCTCTCAAATAAGCAGCTGACATCAGATGACAAAGAGCTGAGGTGGTAACAGCAAACGGTGGCCAGTTTTCCCCCCTGACCTTGGACATGGTAAATGACCTTTGAACTTCAGGGCAACCCCATATCAGGTAAACGGAATGGTTTGAGGTTCTTCCGCCTCTTCCAAAACCCACTGGGGGGAAACGTTCTGACAAGGGCTTCCTGAGGACCTGAAACCATCTTGAGTGTGGGTGCCGTTCCTTCCTTCTCATTGGCTGGAATCCAGACCATAGACTGCTCTTTGGTTGGCTGGGAGGGATTCACGCTCCAGCTCCCACAGGAAGCGACGCAGACGTACAAGTTGCCGATGGAGGCCGTCGTCAGACACGGGCTCCGAGAGACGCAAGCGGAAACCGTCGCAGGGAAGAATCAGGGGCGGGTGGTCGGTGAAACTCTCAAATATATCGCCTGGGGTGTAGGAGAGAAGAACCAGAGAGCCAGCACTTGGTTTATAAAAATTGAAGTCAGAGTCACAATTAGATTTTTCAGCATTCTGAGCAGACTTAAACATTTGTTCCCAGAAAATAAAAATACAATTAGAATTCTGGAACTCTCCATTTTCTCAGACTTTGCTGTCCTGGGCAGCTACACCAGTAGCTCTACCCTCTTTTTACCCTAGCGACACCCTCCAGTAAGTGCTACAGGAGGTGTTAGGAGCCCATTTTTGCAAAAGGCACCAAATGCTTTCAGTATTGCTTCACTTGTTGGGGTGGGAGAGAGATGGTGGAGCTCAAAGGGGAAAGCAAGGGAACAGGGTTGGAATAGAGAGGGGAGTCTTTCCCAGCAGGGGAGAATGCAGTGGCGGGGAATGTGGTAACATCCTTACACCCCAAGACTGATGCCAAAGTTCACAATCTAAAAGGGATAATTTTGGGGTACTGTTTGCTGGCTGGTGGGAGGGGAGGGAGAGAAAGAGAAGTGGGTATGGGTCACTTCTCAGGCACAGAATCAGCCAGTGACACAGGAACACAGATGACCCTGGCCAGTCAAGGACAAAAGGCAGGCAATATCACACATTACCTAAAGTCACACCTAAATCAACAGAGAGCTGCAGGATGCCAAAGTGTAGAAATGTAGAGATGCAGACAGGAAGGGAATGAGGGTCTGCAAAGAGGGAGACACAAGGGGGATGAGCGCGTGGAAGAAGGGGTCCATTTTCTCTTGGCCGTTTTAGATAACAAGAAGGAAGGAATCCGTTGTCTTCAGAAAGCGGCCATTACTACGTGGTGCTAAAATCGAGAAGTGGGAAACCCCAGACGCTAACACCAAGGTAGTAGATGAGTTCTAATGGCTTGCAAGTTCAAGAAGTGAACAGCCTATCTATATTTACCTCTGCCAGGGATATTTAAGATTCAAAAACAAAGTTCTGCATTTATATCACCTTTTCTTTGATCCTTGCTCAGCCTGTTGTGTTTACTTACGCTGTGCGTATTTTTTATTTTCTTATTAGATTTCTTTACATTTTTAATGCTCCTGGTCTGATCTCTGTGATGCTTCTTAAAACTCTTGTCCAGTCCATGCTTATCCGTAGAGAAGGGGGAGGAGAGAGAGATTTACCCTACCCTCCTAAAACGTGGAACTAACCTCTGTAGCAAGTGCAAAGGAGAGGGAGACTCGAACTCAGGCAGGATTCCTAAAAAAGGACTGCTTAATTGGTGGTAGTGATGCCCAGAGAGAGCAAGAAACTAGGGAGCAGAGGAAGAGAAGTCTCACTGGGGCAGGTGACCAGGGATGGCTACAGAACTTCCTCACGCCCATATTGGCAGAAACAAGTGCTTGTGGGACCGTATCCCTACAGAAGGAAAATTTCACCTGTTGAATTTCTGTCTGCCACATGGCTATCAAAGGCACAGATCCCCTGCCAGAAATAAAACCAGTGGCAACTATAAGGGGTGGGGTGACAAAGATCATGTGGGTTTGGGAACAAGGGGTTTCCACACTCACTGTGTGCAATTTCGTCTCTCTCCTCTTCCGGCGGGTCCCAGCACTCAGGGGCCGGGCGGCCTGGCCCCAGTTGATAATTCCTGAGCACATGCTGGAGCTGGGCTGGCAGCAGGGCTGAATAGTCGTTTTTCAGGCGGGACCAAGATGACTGCGTACAAGCAGAACACAGGAGAGCAGTTAGCAAAAACATCCCAACCCAGCCCTTCGAGCTGACATGTCTGCCTCCCTCATCCAGACGCTGTGCTTTCTGTCCCAGAAGCAGAAAGCAGGGCTGACACCCAATTCAAAGAACATACTCGATTAAGCATGTGAAGTTTTACTTGAGTGGTACCTATTTATCTACTTGCAATTTCTTACTTTTGAACTGCTAGGTTGGCAGGAGCTGGAACTAGAGACGGGAACTCACTCGGTCATGCGGCACTCAGGTCTCGAACTGCTGAACTACCGACCTTCCACAGCCTGCAGTTCAGCGTCTTAACCACTTGAGCCACCGCAGCTCCAAATAAAACATACACAAGGTTAAAAGAAATAGACCAAATATCCGACTCTTAAAGCTTATTACATACAACCTGAGTCATTTCTGCACCAAGCAACTTGAATTCCGCAACCTGAACAATTTCTGCCAACCTATATTCTCTATTTGCATAATTTACTCAGCGGCTGCTAAGCATGGGTAAAGACAAGGGACAGGTAATGGAACCTAGCACATTCATGTGCATGCCTCTGAGATTTCATCAGAAATTGCACATGCTCTTTCAAGCCCATCAGCACAGCCATGAGAGCTAGAAACTTAAAAAAAAAATGACTCTCAGATACCCAGATTCCTCAGCTTGGAGCCCAATAACAAAACCATCACTTAAATGAAATAACGGAAATACGCAGGTCTCTGTACTAACAGGGCTCTGATTCCTTGGGTCCCAGCACAAACTTGCAATAGCCACTACTATCTGCTCCAAGACATCCAATGTCACGTTCCATGAGGGGGGGGGGATGGGACTCTAATTTACTTTTTATATGAACTAGAAGACAGATCCAGACCACCCTTCCCTTATCAGCTCCAGTAAAGTGTACCTGTTTTGCTTTTAGGGTTGCCAAGTCCAGGTTGGAAAATTACTGAAGATCTTGGGGTGGAGCCTGGGGAATGTGGGGTTTAGGGAGGGGAGGGACCTCAGTGGGGTATAAGACCGCACAGTCCATCCCCCAAAGCTGCCATTTTCTCCAGGGGAACTGATCTCGGTCATCTGGAAATCAACAGTAATTCTGGGAGAACCCCTGGAGGTTGCCAACCTTATTTCCTGTCCACATCTGGGCTCCCCTGATGCCAAAACGCAAAGTGTCAAATAAAATGATGAATTAAGAAAATAAATAAAAAGGACTGCCAACACATTCTCCTTAGGGCTCTGATTCCTTGGGTCCCAGCACAAACTTGCAATAGCCACTACTATCTGCTCCAAGACATCCAATGTCACGTTCCATGAGGGGGGGGGGATGGGACTCTAATTTACTTTTTATATGAACTAGAAGACAGATCCAGACCACCCTTCCCTTATCAGCTCCAGTAAAGTGTACCTGTTTTGCTTTTAGGGTTGCCAAGTCCAGGTTGGAAAATTACTGAAGATCTTGGGGTGGAGCTTGGGGGAATGTGGGGTTTGGGGAGGGGAGGGACCTCAGTGGGGTATAAGACTGCACAGTCCATCCCCCAAAGCTGCCATTTTCTCCAGGGGAACTGATCTCGGTCATCTGGAAATCAACAGTAATTCTGGGAGATCCCCTGGAGGTTGCCAACCTTATTTCCTATCCACATCTGGGCTCCCCTGATGCCAAAATGCAAAGTGTCAAATAAAATGATGAATTAATAAAATACATAAAAAGGACTGCCAACACATTCTCCTTTCATCAGACCCTTGAACTGTGTGCTTCAGGAGGAAAAAGGGCAGCAAACACCCACGACCTATGCTCTCGCCCGAGCCAGCTGTTTCCACATCTGGGCCCTTCAAGGCCCGGGAAGGCAAAGACCTATTGTTCACCTGCAGCAGGCTGCTTTTGGGCACACACAGCAGGTTGGCCGTGGTGCTCAGCTTGCGGAAGAACTCGGTGGCAATGTCTCCAAGGCCCACTCCCTGCAGCCAGTCCAGCACCAGGTCCAGGTTGGTTCGGATTTGCACCGCCTTGGCCCACTGGAACAGGGACTGGGAACTGCCTGGAAAAAAGGGGGGGGGAAGGGTTCTTGAGAACAAATCTGAGCCAGGCTATTCAGTCCCAACCTCTGACCGCTCCCCCCCCCACTGCTTTCCTGCCAGTGGCTCCCTCACTCCGAGGCTCCCACCCCCCACCAGCTCACTAAATGCTGGATGAGGAGCCGCCTCTGCCTGGCGATTTCCTGTCCTGCTCAGGGCAGTCCTAAACTCTGGGACAAGCAGGAAGCAGCCTGCTTCCGCCAGAGACCAGGACAGAAAATAGGAGGAAGTGTCTGTGTGTGTGTGTGTGTGTGCGCGTGTGTGTGTAAGGGAGGGGGGATGCTGAGAGGTTCTTGTTCTTTCACTGGGCAGGAGCAAAGGACAGAACCCGATTCTTCCAGTGCTCCAGCCATTTTTGCACAGGAGGCTTCCATTCAATCTTGTTTCCGTTGGTTTCTAATAGAGCTGTCAAACCCCCATGGCCCAGAACGGTCTTTCCAGTGACAAATGCTTTGCTCCTGCCTTTTTTTTAAAGTTTAAGGCATCTCTCGAAAGCCTCACTAATGAAACTGCCATCTGCACATGGACATATTATGCCTCATTCACCACACGGAGAACCCAGGCGTTCTGATTTTCACCGTTCCTTGCTCTATCCTATTAGACAGTCTTTGCTTCTCATATAGTAGGAGTTCAAGGCTTTCTGTCTCTCTAGCAGGGGTCGTTTCGTAGAAAAAGAGCTAGGAGAACTCATCAGCATAACTCATTAGCATATGCCACACCCCCTGACATCACCGGAAGTGTGTCATAAGGCCACACACCCCGCCCCCAACGGTCCCGGCCGCCACCGCCGGCCTTGCAGCTCCACTGCCGAGCCCCATGAGGGGCCCGGTGGTGGACCTACAAGGCCGGCGGGAGTGCAAGGAAGCCCCGCGAAGGCCCTCCCTGGCCCCAGGCAGGCAGGGGTGGGGAGAGGCGGGGAGGAAGCAACTTACCCTCCCTCTTCTCCTGCCTCCTCCTGGCTGAATGAGGGCTGGAAGCGGGGCGACCGGAAGCAGGGGGCGGGGCTTC